ACCACATGCACTTTAGTAGACAATGCGTGCTCTGGCCGCACACGTATTTCTGAAACTTCGAGCACGCTGCTCTCGATCAGCTGTCATTCGACGGTTTCGGTATTAAAGTTTATATCACATGCCGGGATTTGGAAAAGTGTTCAAAACATTCGAATTTCGGCCTAATGGAGACAGTGGAATTTGGCTAAAGAATTTCACTAATTCGTATCTACCGCGGTTTCACATTGTACGTTTAGATGAACATCTTCTAAATTCGTTTATAATAAAATGCGGTGGGTTCGCAAAAAGCCTGGAGTGGGCTGACCTGAATTTTCGTCGATGTGGCCAAATCATGCACAAAAATTTCGATTTCCGGGAGATTTTTATGAAAACCGTACAGATGGAAGAAACGGTGAAAATCCGGGAGTGTCTCGGACAGTCGGGGAGAGTTAGCAGGTATGCACTGGACACCACGCTACTGTACCGCCTTGATGCATCTGAGTGCTCTCCACTTTCTGAAGTCGTCAGATACGCCAAAGACTGCCGTCAGTTGGCTCATTCTCTGACAAGTGAAGCTCATGGTCGACAAAAGACTCGACATGACGACACTCATCACCCAGCTCCTACGTTTCGTGCTGGCTTTCTTATGTGGCTCGGGGTGCCCCGCACGTTCTGGCGTGGTACCATGGTCCATACCGTGTCATATATGTGACCTCGCCGGTGAATTACGTTGTCGAGCCTCTCACACAGTCACCAGATTAGCACCGTCGAGGATGGGAGACCGTACACATTGACCATTTCAAGGCCTGCTGTGACCCCCTAATTTTGCCTGCTCTTCAAGTCACCAGGATGGCTATGCTTCACATGGGGGGTATTGTAGTGGATCATATGCACCAACGCATATGAGCCTTCGGAAGAGGATGAAAAGCCCGCGCTCCGATTGTGTGAGAGCCTGTGCCGCTTTTGCCAGCCTTGCCGTACGGCCCTTTTCCATTAGCGACCTCATTGCGACGTGCGGAGTAGATGAAATAGATTCTAAGATATTAAAAAATACTGTTTCCATTTCAAGCATCATTCTGTTTCAGATCTTCAGGCAGTCTGTATCGTCCGGTATGCTTCCCTCCGACTGGAAAATAGCAAAAGTATTGCTGATTTCAAAAATGGTAGTAAAAATGCATGTGAATATTACAGGCCCATCTCGCTTACTTGTATTTGCTGCAAATAACTAGAACACATCATTGATTCGCACGTTTACAAACATCTAGAATTGAACAGTTTTTTTTTTTCTTTGGGAATCAGCACGGTTTCAGAAAAGGCCGTTCTTGCGAGACAATTACTCGAATTCACAACAGATATCCACCTTAATATGAACCTCTCCCTACAAACCGACTGCTTATTCTTTGATTTTTCAAAAGTGTTTGATTGTGTTGCACATTGCCACCTCATATCAAAACTTTCAGCCTTAAAATTAGACTCCTGTGCATTGTCATGGCTGCGTAACTTCCTATCCAATTCACTTCTGGTAATGAGTTTGATTCACCCAAATTTGTCATTTCTTCAGGTGTACCACAGGGAAGCGTCCTTGGGCCTCTGTTGTTCTTAATTTATATAAATGATCTGCCCAACAACATCACCTCTCGCATACGAATATTTGATGATGACTGCATAATTTACGGCCCCATAACCCACACTGATGATCATACCACACTTCAATGAGACCTAGAAATGGTGTAACGTATGGCTCATGACATTAAATGTGTCGAAGTGTAAAATGTCTTTCACTCGCAAACCTGTTGATTCTCAGTTTACCTATCGCATTAACAATATTGTCATACCACTGACTGCAACCTATAAGTATCTAGGCGTGCACCTCACACCTAACCTATCATGGTCAGAGCACATAACTTGCATACGTGCAAATGCATCCAAATCATTAGGATTTTTACGTCAGAACATGCGCAGGGCACCTCCCCTCTTGCGAAAACTTGCGTACCTAACTCTCGTACAACCGCAGCTTGAATATGCGTTTTCCATTTGGTCACCACATAAGAAATACTTTATTCAAGCATTGGAAAGCATTCAGAATAGGGCAAGCCATTTCATTGTTCAAAACTACAGTAACTTGTCTAGTATCACGCAGATTAAAACCGAGCTATCATTACTAATGGTTAGGTGCCCACCGTGATATTGCATTACTGTCATTGCTTTCATAAGGTCATTCACTCTGACGCATTATCACTACCATGTTTGAATCATCAAGTACACACTTTGCGAAGATTACACAACACTCTCAGTTACACCCGCCTGTATGGTGCAATGCAATCATTTAATTTTTCACCATTACCTCGCGCTATTGGTCTCTGGAACAGCCTACCGGAAAACATTGCTTGACTTAGAGACCATGACGCCTTTTTCCCTTAACTTAAACCAACATTTTTCCACACTCTGCGCTTAGTTTCATCTATTTCATATGTGAGTGTGTATGTGTGTATCTATTGCTTTTCATTCTGATTACATTTGTCTTTTAATAGCATTGGTGCAAGCTTTCCTTTTAAAGACGATAATCTTTCTTGGGGACCTTCAACACAAAAATTTTGGTCTGTCTGTCTGTACATTTGTGTTTGTTCACTCTTAAGGGCATCGGATACTTGAAACGGCCGATCCCGTCCGCAGCGCCCACCAATGTTGCTCAAGATTTAGCGTTCATACTTGTGCAATTTTCAAATAATAAGCAATTATTGAGCATGTCTGGGGCACCATAACAACATGTATATATTCTGCATATGCATCTTTTACTGGAGAAGGCATACATAAGTAATTTTAAGGACCGTAGCGCTTATCACGCTGTGCTGACCATGCAACGTTTGCACGAAAAGGCGAGTGTTTCCAACGCTTTGCTAAGACGAGATGGCGGCGGCACCTACCCGTCGCTTTGCGTTCTACACCCTTATGAGACGGCCGCGCACACCCATCTCAAAGCCACACGCTTCGTTTTCGAAGAAAACTGCCAGATGGCGCTCATGTCTCATGTGTGACATGACTTGATGGGCTCGTTCGTCTCCGCTGCATGCTCGAGGCACTCTAACGCAGCGCCTCCAGAATACCATTCACCGATTTTCTTGCGCAGAACATCAAATAAATTGTTCACTCTCTCCACATGCAAGACTGTCGTCTTTCGATGACATTTGCAGATTAACATGCAAATACGAGTCCAATTTTTATTGGAAGGTGTATAATGATACAATCGTATTTTGACTGCATTATATTATGTACTGTAACTGCAATCTGTATTTACTCCTGCGCAATATTTTCTGTTATGTCGCGACTTCCTGATAATATGCATATTTAAGAGATTGTACTGCACTGTATGCCCCCCCCACCTTATGCCTCTTCCAGGGCCTGGGAGGTATTATAAATAAAATAAAATAAATAAGCCTCATCACAAAATAAATTGGTAGCATTGCTTCGTGTGGTGACACAGGCAATCATTCTCATTCGTTTTGTTTTTTTTTCGCTGTTCTTTAACTTATTAACCCTCCGATTAAATGGTGCTATCATCCCAGCTAGGGCACGTAAACTATGGATCTGCTGGAATGGGACAGTGTACCGTCTCGCGCCCCAGACATGGCTATTTTTGTGATGACGGCCAGCACTGCCAAAGCACACCGCTATTTATGTGCAGCTGAGACACAAAGCCTCCGATATTGGTACTTGTAGTTGCCGCAGTAATCATAAAATGTATAAAAATAGTTAGAAAAATGTATAAAGAAGTAAAAGAATACTTCCTTGAGTGTTATTTTTTTTATGATGCGACTTCTTACTTTCCTAACTCACCCGTTCATAACTCGCCGGCTGATAACGTTATCCTTCAGGGCCTCCTCATTTGTTTCATCGCATTACTTCAAGCTTGTGTGATAGTCAGGCAGGGGTGCATACGCATTAAATGAATAGGGATGTGCTTTTTTTTTTCTTTCTGCAGTTAAAATAGTAAGCTAGCAGACGATCTTGCGATAGGAGTTGCACGAGCTCCACTACGCAGAAAAAGCATTATTTATCCTATTAATGCTTTAAAATATGTTGCACGTGTTTTAATCTTACAGGTACTTTTAACTTCAATCGTGATATGTGACTATTTTACACAAAATTTGACAAAGGTCGGCAATGCAAATTTGAATTACGCACTCTGGGCACACCGTTCGATGGTGGTGCCCTTGTGGTGGCGTCATCGCAAAAGCGACCACTGCTGTCCTATTGGTTTATTGTGAAGACGGCACACAGTCCCATTCCAGTGTGCTATACGTAAACCACGCCTATGCTATCTCGCTAAACTATAAGGCGCTGTACGTAACGAGCATTTGCTGCATGGCAACACTAATCTCTTATTATCATGCTAACGGTAAATTTTAACTCTCTAACATGAAAACACGGGCCTCATCTGGCGATACGGCAAGCTCTGAGTAGCGGAGGTACAAACGGCAGAGGGGTGCGTAACAAGAAAAGATTGGGCAGAGTGACTAGAGGGCTGCGGAGGCAGGGTCGACAATAAACGATAAAAATTTATGGGCACTTTGCCGATGGTCTCTCCGCGGTCAAAAGTGGTTTCCCGGAAGTCGCCGGAGCGCAAACTCTGTTCGCTGTAACCGATTGGTGGCGCTCAGAGTTGTTCACTGTGAGTGCGATTTTGTGCCATTGAAATGCATATTTTCATGGTCATGCCATTATTATTTGTTATAAACGAAACTTCCTTTTAAGTGAGGCCGTTATATATGGGCTTTACTGTATTCAAAAATGGGCACATATCAGAATTTAGGCATAAACACCAAAATGTGGCCTTTATAGGCACATTAAAAACACTATAAAAGTCCTCCATAACCCTTAATTCATGCTCTTATATCAATGTGGCACTATAGGAACACCAGCAACAAAGTAGGCATTTGTGTAAGATTCTATTATGCCATAGTGCTTTCAGTTATTTCTTATCAAATTAATAAAAGGTGTTTTTCACTTCTTGTCAATTGTAGATTCAGAATTATGAGAAGAACAAGGAGCTGCTGACAAAGGAAAACCAGCGGAGAGCAGATCTCTTCAACACACTGTTCGAGAAGGGGAAGAAATCAAGGATAGGCAACGAATCTGCTGCCAAGCCAGAAGCAACCGGAGAGCAAGTCAGTCAGACGGCACAGTCTGACTGACAGCCAAGCCTGCAACCTATTGCCTTTTGTTTCTTTCTTAGATTTTTTATCACTATGTCAACTGTGACAAACTAAAGTGTAAATAAATTTAGACTCTAGTGATTTTGAGAGCCAGGTTGTCTTTTTTCAGGAAATTGCACTGCCGCAGTGGTCTAGTGGCTAAGGTACTCGGCTGCTGACTTGCAGGTCGCGGGATCGAATCCCGGCTGCGGCGGCTGCATTTCGGATGGAGGGGGAAATGTTGTAGGCTCTTGTGCTCAGACTTGAGTGCACGTTAAAGAACCCCAGGTGGTCGAAATTTCCAGAGCCCTCCACTAAGGCATCTATTATAATCATATGGTGGTTTTGGGATGATTAAGCACCACATATCAATCAATTCTTTGATGAAATTAGGGCGTGACGTTTCGTCTTCTTTCAAGAAAATCGGACTACACAAACCACCGGGGAAGAAAAAATAAGCGTCAGCTTGCAACTTACGGTTATTTATATCAAAAAACATAATATATGCTTGCAATAATCTCCTGTATATGCACACATCATCCAACAAGAGATAACATGGGTCAATCTTACAGCGTGAAAAAAGAAATTGAGCATCAAAATGTGTAGAAAGAAAAGCCACCTCACTATCTTGCAATGCCAAATATGGGCAGTTGGCACACTTCTTTTTTGATCAAGTACGCATCGACTATTCGCGTTCTGTTTTAGGGGCGAAGCTCCTTATGGCGTGGCTTGTGCGTCCCTCATAGTACGTAACCACCAGTGGCACATACCCGAAATAGCGGTCCTTACAATGTCTGCTGGATGGGGGCACTTGTATATGATGAATGCATGTTGAAAAGATGTGAGATGGCTGTGCTGGGAGTTTTCTCTAGACATATGGACGGACGAACGCACTGACTCACGCACGGACGGACAGACAGAGGGGCGCACGGACGGATGGACAGACAGAGGGATGGCCGCAAAAAGAGACGGACGGACAGACAGACGAATGAACAAACGGACGGATGCACCAAGGATCACACAGATAGGCGGACGCAAGAACGAATAGACAGACAGACTGACGAACGCTGCACCCCACCAATCATCATTCACTCCGTGGATATGCTGTAATTTTTTTTTGTTCCTTTTTGAAAAAAGTGGTGTTTTGAAATAAAGGGCACCCACATTGCTTTAAATGTTTTGTTAAATGGCTACCATATTCCTTCTTGACTTTATTATTATGCTGTATAGCCCTGTCAATAAAGCACTAACTAGGCTGCCCAATGTAAACGCGACCACAAGTCAAGGGGATCTGGTAAATCACATTTGTGGTACACACAATGTAAACAGTCCGGTGATTGGTTTGACAATACATGAGTGTGTTTTTTGCTTGTTTTTGAGGTTGCAGACGGCTGATAGTTTTCAAGGTACTGAAAAAACTAAATTGATATGATGTCGGTTAGCTACCTTCTTCAAGTTGTGAGATACTTTATGAAGGTATGGAATCGCAAGCACCGGTCTTTTTTCGGGAACTTTTGTTGACCGCTTATTTGGCAATTTTGATTTCTTAAGCAAAGTCTCGCAAACAAATGTGACAACATACACAGGAAAACCTGCCTTCTTTAATTTGTGAACTTGCTTGGACACACTTTGCTCTGTTTGGCGCACACATGATTTGCGCTAAGCATTCATAATACATAGTAAACTACTAAAGCCACAAAACGTCGAAATCGGAAAAAGCAGTGCAGTAGAGACAGAGATGTGGCACTAACAACTGTTGTTAGTGCCTCGTTTCTGCTCTGTCTGTTTTTCTATGCACTGCTTTTTTAGATTTCGACATTTTGTGGCTTTTATAGTTTACTAAGTATGTACCAACTTGCCCAACAAGCAGCTCTCCTGATTCATATTTTGTTAGCTTAGAATGGGTGCTGTCGAAAGGCAAAATACTTTTTTTTGACTTAGGATTATAACTCTAACAAGCATGACTAGATGATGGAGAAATAATCTGAGTGTCCTGAAACTGGATGACATTTTCATTCGACAATGCGCATGTAAACCTGAAACATTTAGAAAGGTTGGTGAACAAGGTAAGACAGTTTGCTGTTGCATCGTCAAGGAAAAGGCCGGGTAATCTTTAAGGACTATTAAAAAGTCATCTACCTATCTAAAAATACAAATGATTGGCATTCCCGTTTGTCGCACATTCACACAATTGTCAAAGGATGTTAAGAAAATGCCACATAAAAATGGGGGCTAATAATGAACCAATACAAATGCCCGTGCTTTGAATGAAGGCCACACCAATATGAATAATAGCTGTCGAATGCAGATAAAATTCAAACACCGTTAAAAAATTGTCGCAGTTCATGCAAACTGAATTATGCAAAGCAAGTTAACCTTTTGATTTTTTTTCTCGTACTGCACGCACAATGCTTTCGTGCGTCACGGTATAGTACAAATCCTGAACATCTAGAGTGAAACCAATTTCAGTCTAATTTTCTTGCAGTGTGGACTAAATCGTTCAAACCGAAATATTGTTACAGCACATTCCATCCTCTCAGTATGACAAATACTGCTAGTCGATCCTCGATATAATTAACCTGGCTATAACGAATTGCTAGCTATGTCAAACTATAGCCAGAAAGTAAAAGGAATCACATGTATTTCAGCATTTTTATAGCAAAATAATTTGAACTTGTAATGGATAAACCCAATTTCTGGCGCTGCAGTACGAGCGCTCCGGAAGCACGCGTTCGGTTTCTCCACAGTACAGCGGGAACTCGTTCAGCGACCATGGAAATGATGGGTGATGCATAGATTTGCCTAGTCTTCATGCTTGTGGGCTTCGAACGCACTTGTAGCTTTGTTTATTGCACTGTTTCAGTTTTTTTTTTTACCTTCGTGACCCGATTTGGATTAATGAGCCTGAAAGGTGAAGGTGGTTAATCTAGCTGATTGTCGGAAATGAAAGTACGAATATTAGACAAATCTATGTACTACCCATCATTCCGATTCTCACCATGAGATCGGGCTATAGGAGGCAGCAGCATGTTTCACAAGCGCCCCACAGAACGTTGGGCTGCAAGCCTAAGGGACGCGCCTAAGCTTCAGGTATTTTCTCATTTCACGGGAAGATGCTCGCTCCTTGGGGAGTGCCTTTGTGTAAAAATGCATGACGGGTGAGCAGAAAAAACTTGGTCACTTGATTGGTGAGGTCGGACCATGCTGTGCGCAGCCCGGTGGGACATCTTTTTCTCTTTTTTAAGCTAGAAACAAGCTCTTCCAAGCTGTCACTGTGAAGTTCGTTTTAGCTAAGCCACTTCGAAAGATTTCAAGGGCGTCTACAAATGCAAAGAGCTTCTTCGAAAGGCCTACCCATAGGCGTTCGCACAATGTGGGCAAATGGGGTGGGTGCCCGGGCCCCTAGTCACCCAGCTGGTAAGTGGCCGCTAAATCTCCTGTATCCATTGACTAGGTGGCGGGGCACTCTTAGTCATCTAAAAGGTGGGCGCAAAATCTGCCTTATACACTGAATTAATAGGGAGGAGGCGCCCTGCAATGAACCTTTGCCCCACCCCCCCCCCTCCAAATGGCAAGCACGCCTGTGGGTTACCCCTTTCAATGCGGACAATTTCGCCATTCACAGTTTGCTCGAAGTGCCGGAAGATGTACCTCTCGTCGTAGTGCAGCTCGCACAAAGCCGAGTTTTTTTTTTTTTTTTTAACAGCATGTTAGCGCGCGGGATCGCTCTCCGCCACTGCACAAAGCTTCGTTTCTGGAACGCCGAACAAGGCATACTTCATTTATGTGACTTGTAGCCTGTAGTGCACCCTGGGACGAATCAGTGACTGTTTTCGCGCCATAAAGTATGATATATGTGGGGTTCAATGTCCCAAAGCCACCCTATGTTTATGAGAGACGCTGTAGTGGATGGGCTCCGGAAATTTCGACCACCTGGGGTTCTTTAACGTGCACCCCATCTCCGCACACGGGCCTACAACATTTCCGCCTCCATCAAAAATGCATCCGGGATTCGAACCCGCGACCATTGGGTCAGCAGCCGAATACTTTAGCCACTAGGCAACCGCAGTGGGGCACGCGCCTTAAAAGTGCATACAGAAAAATTGGTGTCAGAGTGCCACCGCAATAAAAAAAAAAGAAAAACGAGGACGAACGTCCTCACTTTGTGTTTAAGGATTGAATCTCACTGATGCCTCGATTGTAGCCACCAATCAGTTAGCCTCCTCCTGGCTATTTCTACCAGTTTAAATTCTATTTTGTCTTTACTGTTCCTACATACTAATGCTTAGAAAAATTCGGCGCCATTATCTTCGACTATAGGGCGGAGCCCACAGGAGAAATGAAAGATAGGAGAGGGCATGCCCAGCCGGCGCACCTTATAGTACACTCTAACCACGTCTTCACAACAAGTGACGTCAGGTGTCAGGGTACAGGACTTCCTGTATACAGGACTTCCTGTATCTTATGCTCACTGCTTTTGTTATCAATAAAAATCATGATTGCCAATTTTTCCCTGCTGAACTTAAAGTTTAACCCGTCTCCCTCATTACCACAGATGTCTATCAATCCCTGCAGATCTTCCTTGTTGTCGGCTATTAATACTATATCATCTGCATACATCAATGCTAATAATGACTGTGCAATGTGTTTTCCTTGCTTGGCAAAAGAGAGGCTGAAGCCGAGTTGACTCCCCTATAATTCGGCTTCTAGTCCGTGATGGTACAGCATAAATAACAAAGGTGACAAGGGACATCCCTGTCAAAGCCCGCATTGTATTTCTATAGGTTCAGATACTTGTTCTTCCCATTTGATAACTACCTTGTTGCTTTTATAGATATCCTTTAGAAGATTAGTTATTCCATCTTCCACATCTAGTGTGTCCAGTATTCCCCACAAGCCTTCTTGAATCACACTATCGTAAGCTTCCTTGATATCTAGAAATGCCAGCCACAGGGGCCTGTGTTCTTTTTCTGCTATTTAAATACACTGCGTCAATGAAAACAGATTGCCCTCCAACCTCCTTTGTTTCCGGAACCCATTTTGTAGTTCTCCAAGCACCCCCTCTTTCTCCACTAATGTCTGTAGTCTTTCCTTTACTATCTGCATCACC